CAGAATTTTGAAGTTAATCGGTGGAGAACAATATTTCATATTGTGGAACGTTGCACGGGTCGGTTCACGTGATAAAGTACTACTAAGTCTGGGCCGAGCGGGGCCCAGTGGTTAATGTGCCGGACTGTCGATCCAAAGTTGCATGGTTCACACCACGTTACCGCCAAAAAAGAAATCGCGCTCGTCATTATGTGGCCGTGTATGCGTTAAAAGCGTAGCAGTCAAATCATACTATTCCATTAGAGCAGCCAATGAGTTAATAGAGAGTGATGCTGAATAGCTGCCTCCCTCCCCCCCTAATCTATCACTTCAAAATTAAAAACCGATAGCGCAAATAGTCCTAGAGTAGTTTTGCGCAAAATTCGATAAGACAACAAACGACAACTATCAAGGCATATAATAACAGCTGACAAACCGGTGCTCGGGTCAGGTGACAGATTAAGAAATAACGAATGCAGAATTATAGATTGAAAAGTAAGTTCTTATGATATACGAAAATGTTGTAAAGTATCGTTACACACAAAACATATCTCCAATTTATCTAGTTAAAAAGATAGAATTTAAATCAATCATTCATTACACAAATTTTAATTATCCAGATATATTAAACTTTGTTTCAGTTAAGATTTAATATAAAAAAACCATCCTTTCCATTACAACGTTAACAACTTTTCCGTTATAAAGCTCATCTGAAGAATCCAGATAAAAGTCTAAACAGTGTCAGTGGTGACTGATTTTATCAGAAGAAAGAAAGGGTAGAACCCCATGATATAACGCTTTATATAGATTAACTTATTTTTGGGAAACTATACAGATACGCAATTATAGACTCCAATAGGGTCTAATACCAGCATATGATAAGGCAGAAGCTATTTTGGTGAAGCTATAAAGACGTTATTATTGGGTCCAATACCAGCATATATTAAAACAAAAGCTATTCTTGTGAAGCTATATAGAGAAGCTATTATAGGGTCCAATACCAGCATATATTAAAGCTAAAAGCTATTTTTGTGGTTTTTCTGCATAGCTTTATTATAGGGTCCAATACCAGCATATATTAAAGCAAAAGCTATTTTTGTGAAGCTATGCAGAGAAACTATTATAGGATCTAATACCAGCATATACTAAAGCAAAAGCTATTTTTGTGAAGCTATGCAGAGAAGCTATTATAGGGTCCAATACCA